TATTAAATTTAATATTAAATATTAATATTGAATAATAAATATTATTGACAGATTTTGTGACATTATGTCTTTTAGTAATGTGATGTTAATTAATCTGTGTTAATGAAGTTAAGGCTTGGGTGGTTTGATATTTACATTTGTACAGGGAATAATAAAATTGTGGTCATTAATAAATTGTTATTTAAGAGTAAGAGTTTTATCTAAAAAAAACGCACGTTGCATTGTGTAATAGCAACAAAGTTCAAAAAGGGAGAATAATTCCATTCTTTATAATATTTTCATAAACACTATTTTAGTACGAAATTTCGCATTCCTAGTCTGAAAGCATTTATATGAATTTTTTAGAATAAATTTATTTTAAGAAGCATCATATATATTCAAGAAAATTTCTAGCTGCACTTTGCATGTATTTTCCCTTCAGAAGATAAGGCTACTGTGAGAAGTAACATTTAGTGAAATTAGTTTTTCTATTTCTTAACAAGTCTTCCTATTTTCAGAGAAAAATATTTTCCAATTCGTTTTCCAATTTTAAAATATATTTTTCATTAAATTGCTCTCCCTTTCTTATTTCAATTTCACTATTTTTTAATTCAACTGTGCGAATTGTTTTTAATTTTTCTAGCAACTCAGAAAACGAGAAAGAAAGGAAAATGGAGAAAAAGAATATTCGGTTTAATTTAGATTTCCAAATATCACTTGAAATTGCATCTACAGTTACAGATATCTCAAGTTTCTTTTCCTCTTGTTAGTTTATTTTCGTACGTGAATTAAACGGTACATTAGAATCGATAAACTAGTAATTAAAATGGCACAAACAAGAGGGGGCGTTTATTAAAAATGGTAGGTACAATTCGCACATGCCGAGAGCAGAGGTAGAAAACGAGAATTCCTTGCAACGGCGTATGCACGACTTTTACGACGTTTAATTTTTTATAAGAGCCACTGTCAACGACGTTCACTGCTGCACATTTCTTTAATTAGGGGAAACAAGGTTGTTTCCACGAAAACAGAAACTTTTATTTTTCCAAATATACTTTATTGGATCTCCTAGAAGAAAGAATATTAACAATGACATTTTTTAATCAGATTTTCACGAACAATTGAATATTTTGTTAAGTGGAAAAATTATAGTTACATATATTTGAAAAGAAAAATTTTGTTGGATCTCTTAGCAGGAAGAATATTAACAATGAAATATTTTTATCAGATTTTCACGAACAATTGAATTGTTAAGTGGAAAAATTATAGTTACATATATTTGAAAAGAAAGATTTGCTAATTCTCAAAATTAAATCAATTTTATAAAATAATTTATGTCGTCTATGACATATCGATATCAGCTACGCCATTTATTCATCGCCATTTTTAATTATCGTTGTCCCTGGCCTCATCTATCTCGAGTACCAGGAAGATTTTAAAAAGCGACCTAATAGTCGAATGAATGCATAATGCAATTTATTCTAATCTTCCCACACTTGTTTTCATTTTCTTTCATTTTCATATTTTCTCTGCAATTCACATTATTTTTTCCGTGGTTGCGTTTTATTTTTATTTTTCACTCAATATCTCATGCTTGTTTTCATTTTATTTCTGCTCCATCCTTTATTATTCCACTTTATATCTTTTTTTCATCTTATATTTATGCTATTCTTCTTTTCATTATATGAAATTTATTCGATTACCTATTTTCATTTTCTTTCCTCTCTTTATTATATTTGTACCTCGATTCTTTTAAAAATTAAATTTCATCTTCGGGGAAAAAATATTTGTAGAAATTTGAGGCACTCTATCCTCGAACTAATTTTAAACTTCTTCGATTGCCCAAAAAGTTCGAAAAAGTAAAATTTAATAAAAACTTACTGGCAGTGTATTTTCGCGAAATTAGCATTTTATTGAAAATTCAGAATACAGTTTCTTTCGACGACTCTTGCCATCTGTTGAATAGCTTCAGCTGAACTTTTTCGAAAAACTTTTCCTCTTCTTAAGAAATAATTTTCTTCAATTAGAATATTCGGGTCCTCGGAATATTCTGGGAATAGCTATTTTTATTAGTAAATTATGATTCGTGAATATATAACATGCCCATTATACAAAATTAATATTTAAAATATACAATAGTTATTCGAAGATGAAAAATATCCATATTAATTTTAACATATCTTTCGAAATATTTGAAATAAGAATAATATTTTTCCCTTCTATACTAAATATGCTATGTCCACTATAATATTTGAGATCCAACATTTTCTATTTTTTTAATATAAGTATTTGAGATTTCATATCATATCAAGAATATTTATTCATTTTTAAATATACCCTTCAATTTCTATACTATTCAATTATACTAATATTCTTTCTAGTTCAATTATAGTAGTATTCTGCACAAACTATGGATCAGCACTAAATACGAATTATCGTAAATACTACGAATTTTATACTATGATATTATCACATAATATGTAACAAGAGAAATATGTCACAAAATTTTCAGAAAGAGAACCTATTCACTTACTATTGCTAAAATTGCCATATTACATATAGAGTGATTACAAAAGTATATAGACCTAATCATAAGTCACACACGTTTCCTATCGAAATATTCGAAATTTAACGCTTCAAATGTTCTACATATCAAAAAATGAATTAATTACTATTAAGCTGTATGCTCACCTTAGCAGTACAATTTTCCCATACCTCGCAAAGATGGTTTCATGCTACAGTAATTCAAACGAATGCGAACGATAAAATCCTTCTTTCCAAATTTTGTACTTACATCTTCACAAATACCAATACAAAGACTAACAAAATTTCTCCTGAAAACCATGACTTTCATCGCAGAATTTTCTATATTCTTTTAAAAAATTCTTCAAATTATACTCAGTCAAGGTACCTGTAAAACGCTGTAGCAACTACCCAATCCCAGTCGTCTACAGCGACCATGTTTATCTAAGAGCGAAATTGACTTACACAGTCGTCTTTCTCAAGGGATTCTCGTGGCTATTCGGTCGGTCAGGAATCGTTTGACCTGCGGGATCGATGGTTCGACATGATAGTCTAACGAGGACCATTTTCAGTCGTCCTGGAGGTGCAGCGTGTGTCGACGAAAACTCGCGTCTCGGGACCAGCCGATCGTGACACAGGAATCGACCGATTCCCTGCTCGAGGTGCCGGTCCTGGAGGCTCTGCAGAGGAGGCACAGCGACGCGAGGCTCGGCTGTCAAAGCGGAACTCAAATCGGTGGTCTTGGCACTGGACTGGCACCACCTAGGAGCCCTGAGCTCAGGAGGCACTCGGACGTGTCGCCTGCAAGTTTGAAGGAACTCGAGAAGGTAAGCGTTTGCTTCTTTTGCTTTTGGGTACAGCTTCTCAGACAATCGTTGCTTCTCGACGACAGGATAGAATACATTGCCACGTACGTTTCTGTGCATCGTATTCATTTCGATTGGTCACGCTTGGGGTCGGATGCGAGCTATCGATTGCAAGTTTGAGAAATTTGTCGATCGTTCAAATTGGTATATCAATTTTTGTGTCCTGTTTTCATCGCGAGTTTGCAGACAGTTTTTGGATAAATTGATGATGACTTTTTGAGAAATAGATAAGTATGTTATTAGCATTAGAACTACCGATCTTTAATGGGTGCCTAACTATAACGTGCACAGATTATAGTAATTTCAGCGGTACGATGAATGTGAGTGAATATATCGATTGCAGTTCTTTCTTAATATGAGTTGATACCAATTTTATTTTTAAAGCAGGTGTATATGTTCGGTGATTGCAAAAAGGAAAATTCTGGAACCAGTTATTTTGACTGGGTTGGTAGTTCTAGTGTTAGCTATGTATGTGGAAGGGTTTGTATTCCATAAATTGTTTACTTCGAATGATTATTATCCTTTTATAATACGAGGTTTACAATCTTAAGGTCGAAGGAGATTCGTGAATATTTTGATTTTTGCAACGTGAAATATTTCCATGTTACAAATACCTTTCATGATATATAGTGGGATGTGGAAGTATTCGAACGTTATACAAATTTTAAGAGTGTACTCTGACTGAAAAATTCTGATTTCAATGGAGGTACACGTGCACATAGACCATAACGAGTTACACGTGGTTCGATCCTTTTTATTTGCAGATGCTGCTTCACGTGGGTGAAATCGTTAGTCCAAGTTACAGTCCAATATTTGTTTTCTTTTTTAATGTAATCGTATAATGATGCGAGATAAACAAAAACTTTTCGAATAAAAAATGTTTAATCTTTGGTGCTCTGCCAATCTATAGTAAAAATTTCTCAGTGCAAAATCTCGCTTAAGAATAAAAAAAATTGTTAAAAATTTATACGTCGATTTTACCCCCTCAAAGTGTCATTTTCTGTCAAGAAGAAAATGATTGTATACGTAACTCGTTGTATTTTATGTACACGTAAACTTTCATAAAAATCAGGATTTTTGGATTAGAGAATTCTTTAGAAATATAGTATTCGAATACTTTCGCGAGTTACTGTACTTTAATTGAGGTCTTTGATATACTAGAATTTTATCTTTCAATAGAGCTTTTCTTAAAATTTTTCAATTTTAATTTAAAGGGACAATTGGTAGATTGTAACAAATAAAATTAATTTTCGCATCATGAATTGAATTTTTGTGGTTCCTTGTAGTAGATTTGTAGTAGATTGATTGGAAATTTAATTAATATAACACATATTCCAATTAAGGTAAATTTTTAAATTTTGAATTTAAAAGGGTAATCATTTTAATCATTTTCAGCAATTGGAGTGATACAGATATTTCTGTGACTGGTTGCATATCTATTTATTTCCATCGTATCACTTCAATTAATATCACGAGAGATAGTATATTTAGATATACATTACAGGTCAGTAATTTCAGTGCTGACACTCTGGTGGTAGAGTAGTTTGGAAGGTGAGAGTGTAAGTTCGATTAAGTTTAATTTTTGCCTGGAGTAACTAGATGGTTATCGGACAGAGAAGATACCGTGGATGGTTTTATTTTAATTAAAGCGACATGATGAGAGAGCAACAAGTTTCAAGACGAGCACCTTTGCAAGTTCTAAAATCTTGGCTTATCGAGTCGATATGTTTCTTGGGGTATGCTATATCAAAATTAATCTCTCGATGTATTTGCATCTAACTTAGGCAAATTTGCTGCCATGAAACATAAATTACTATCGATATATCAGCTGTAATTAATGAACTTTGATTGGTGATAATTCTTGACAATTTATGACCAAAAGTGAACTTTTTATTTACACAAGAACTATTGGATATTAATTTCGATTATTTTTCTCAGTGCACTGAATATTTTAATGCAGTATTAAAAATTGATTTTCTTTTAGAAAGAACTATTTCTATTTTCTAGAAAAAATTTAATAAACTCACAGTCCTTTGTTATCACTATTATCAATATTTTATTATTAATTTATTATAAAATTAACTTAAAATTTATTCTCCTCTATTAATCAGGTAGAAAAGCCTGTATAAATTAATTTCATTTTAAAATAGACTTGTAGAATTTCTCATACAAAAATTGAGTAAACAGTTATTATGAGAAGTGAAATCAACTGAAATATAATTAAATCAAATTAAAAAAAGAAGATAATAAATCGACTATATAATGAACTAAAATTGTTGAAATTAAAGACGAAAAGCAAGATATCTCTCATCCTCCAAAACCAATCACGAGAGAGATAATCCACTTGCAGCTAACTAGAGTGGAACAATCTCGTGCTTGCAATCGATAGCGCATTAATCCACCCGTTATCTCTCTTACAAATCAAAATAAAAGAGACATTAACCCTTCGATAGTGGATTGCGAATAACTGTTTGCGGTCGAAAATTGAACGTTCTAGCATCTGCGCTTTCGTCGCTTGGCAGCGCGCCAGATTATCTAGCAAGCTCGCCTCCAGCAATTTTATTTAGTTTGGATGTCAACGCAGGCTTATTTGTCTTGCGATATGTTGCTCCGTGGTTGAATGCATGTCTGTTCGTTGCGGGATGTTTCATGCTTGAGAAGTACGCTTTGTCCTGTTTCCTTCACGATCGCAAAGTAATCACCGGGGCATCTCAAAGGAGATAGTTTCTGAATTGTTGGATATTTCTAAATCGACTGTGATATTGGAGGACGAAAATTATTTTATCTACCTTTAAACAGATATACTTAACGGTCACACAACTACGGAGGGTTAATCGTTTCGTTAAAATTCAGAATAAATTGTCCGAGCCTGTTATTTGGACTGCAGAAGGTGAGGCTCGAGATACGTTTTCTGAAGATAAATTGCAACATTTTGTAATTTTATAATTACATGCCTAACAATTTGCTTCTTTCATTTAAATTAGAAATATATTATTAAAAGAAAGACATTCAAATTATTACAATTATTAAAAGAAATAAATGGAAATCATCTTGTTTCTGTGCTTCTGTGCTTCGTGGTTAAAAGAATTTGATTGAAAAATATTTTATTCTTCTCCATTTTACATAAAATACTAAAGTAAAGATTGTTAATATAGGTATAAAATTTCTTAAAACCACAAAATTGCAATATTACAACTGATAGTACCTAAATAATACAAAATAGGAAGATACAGTTTGCTATAATTACTAACACGCTAATTTCACATTGATAATGATAATAATGATACAAATATTTCTCCAGTCAAGTTATTAAAATAAATCCACTAATAAATCGGTATGAAGGTAATGTTAGTATCCAAGAACCTTGACTGACGAATGAAGAGAAGAAAGGAGAGCAAGCAAGAGGAGGGTAGTTAATTTTCTACCCCTAACAGATCTTTCACCTGAATCATTAGCTAAATGGTGGCCATTAACGATTGGCCCGATAGCACGGGGGCATAAAAGATATGCCTGACTAATTTCACCCTCGTACAAGATGGTCATTTCACTATCTACGATCTTCCGCAACAGTCATTAAGAAACTTTCGAAACGAGTTTAGATCTGGAACACAAAGTTCAGACTGGCAGGACCTTGGGCGAAATATGCGTGGCAAAAATCGCTTGGCAAAGGGCACGTTTATGAATTATATTATAATACATCTGATTAAACAGCAGTGGCGTAATAAATTAAAACTTCGAGCTGTGCGGTTCCCCTTCTGGAACAGATATTTCAGTGGGAATATAACTGGAAGTTGGAGGGCAAGTCGATGCAAGAAACAGTACGAGGAAAGGAGCTTTGGAACAGCTGCTTTGAACGGTAATCCTTTGAGGGATCACACATCTCCGTGTTCCTTGAAAATTTTCCTTGTTTAATTAAATATGATTCTCGGTACTCGGTGCTTGTCAGCTATTTTTGATGCGATGAAAGGACAGAAAGCTCCTGGGTAATTTTATGCACGAACGATTTCATAAATTGACGCACTATTAATGCTATAAATAAATATAATAGAGGTACGATCGTGCAGGAGATGATTTTCCCTGTAAAAATAAATCGAAAATGAGGAATGAAATTTTTTCGTCTGAGGCTTTGTTTTCGAGAAAATTGAGTTTCAAAATTTGTCGGGTGCACTCAGGTAGTTCACAGTTGAATGCGTCCAATATGGCTGTCGTCAAAGCGTTAACCACTGCTATTTTAAACTCGATTTTCTCGAAAATGAGGTCTCAAGCGAAAAAATTTTATTCTTCATTCTCGACTTATTTTTGTATGTAGAATATCTTTCTATAGGATTCTAAACTCCATGTAAATTCCTTATTTCAAAGTTATTTTTATCTAAACCACGTAAATTATTCAGACACTTCTACAACAATTTTTAGAATTGTTGATACCACCTTCTCTTAGTACTGAATTTGAATTTAATGACACGGTATTATATGGCACAACTGCAAGACTTCTGTTGAAAAATTATATTGTTGTTGCATGCATAAATTTTTAAGACATCTTAATATTATACTGGGAATTTTATTATTGATATAAAGAAAGATTTTATTAAGAGATTCTGGGTTTTCAGTACTCACAAAAAGAAATAAGAACTGCAAGATTATATTTTCTTAACGTAGGTTCTATGATGACTAGACTTTTCTTCGTTCCCTCTAGTGAGCATTAGAAGTCTTTAAAGTTTTAGACCCTCGTTTTTTAACATCCTCTATAGTCATCGTTCGAGGCTAGGCTGGGTCTCCGAAACGATGATTCAAGCCTAGAGGGACATTAAACTACTCTTGCAATTCCCCTAGGATACAAGCAACACCTAGCCCAGCACCTCAGTTAACCTCTAAAATTACCATAATACGGGGAAGCTCTGTTCTCATCTCTGTAAGAGAATAGCTCGCGTTATTTCGCAGCCTCTGATTCGTAACATCGCATT